AACTGCCGAGCCCAATTCCCAGTGCGCTCGCTAAGGCGGACGTAATTTCCTATATATTTCCCAAATTGCAGAAAGGAAAAGCAGAGCCCGGGAGTCGAAAAAGCTTCCGAAAGATGGGGGTCAAAAACGCGGTTCACAAAATCAAGAAAACGAAACGGGGTTTTTATGGGGTTGGTATGATACAAGCAAAAAGGGGTACGAAAGATAGCACGGGTTCGGGAAGTGGTTCGTCACAAGTACAGGACTTCGACCTCTTCCGGTGGTCCGCATTCTCCCACATCCGACCGACCAGCCATAGAGCCCTTCAGTGGCAAATTATACACAGATGCCTACCTACGTCGGATTGGATTACATCACGTACGGACCTGGAGGAGAAAGGACTGCTGTCCCCACTGTGCTCGTACTGCTCCCACACGCTGCCCAACAGAAGAGCTACTCTTGAACACTGCCTACTGGACTGCCCTATGGTGCTCCAAATATGGAGGTGGTGGGATGCAGCGTGGCACTATCTTATAGATCGCTACCTCCCATGGGAAGTGGCCACTCTCCTGCTAAAGGCCGCCCCAGCAGGGGCTGGGGAGTGGACCCCGTTCACATCCAACTTATTTGCATACTCGAGACTGACCGTGCTCATGGCAGCCTGGAGGATGCGCTGCTCTTACGAGAGGAAACAACATAATTATGGCTATTTCAAGCTCGATCAACAATAATTGACACAATTGCTGCCAACACTGAGGCGGCGTACAAAGAACTGCAGAACAGGATGGCAGACGAACCAGACATTGTCAAAAGGCAAAGACTTTGGACTGCCTTCGTTGAGACATGGACCGACTCAAAGCAGAGACTCTGCAGTCTCAATAACGACAACACACTCACATGGTATCCCTGGCTTCAGACAGAAGCGGTGTGGGAACGACTGCCAACGCAGCACTTTCAAGTAGTTCATCAACCGGCAGACTTTATCCTCATTTGTGACTGAGGAACCACTGCTCTCTCTCCCCACCCTTCCCCTCAGCCCCCCTCCCCCCCCCCCCCCCCCCCCCCCCTCCTGTTATCCCTCACCCTCCCCTGTTCAGCCCTGTTACCCATCAACCACCCACCCAGGCCTTCCCCCAAATCCCTCATACACCTGTGCCACCAAAACACCACCACCATCACCACCTCTTCCCTCACTCACTTAGCCGGCCAGGGACAGTCCTCCTCTCTACCCTCTGTAGGGAGGCAGCCAGAATCCATCACAGCAGTGGTTATTGCAGCCATTGGTCTGCATTACATTACACCAAACAATGAACAGCACTAAATCGGGACTGTAGCCCGTATCAGGTGGTTACTCCACAATTGGGGCGAGGTGTGCCCCTATTTTTTATCACCACAAT